AGAGAGGAATCCTGAATTTGAGTGACAACCTCTCCTCCTCCTCCTCCTCCTCCTCCTCCTCCTCCTCCTCCTCCTCCTCCTCCTCCTCCTCCTCCTCCTTCTCCTCCTCCTTCTTCCCCTTCTTCTCCTTCTCCTCCTCCTCTCACTCAACACTGATCCCTGCTTCACGTCTCCCATCATTTGTGGGTCAGGATCTCACTTGTAAATAGACTGCATCAGGGTGGTGGAGACGTCAACCCTAGGAAGGTGAATTTCTTGTCTCACATCTACTCTAACAATCCATCTCAATGACTCCGGGTCGCGTTGGTTAGGTTAGGTTAGGCGAGGCTAGAATTAAGTTAGGTTAGGTTCGGTTAGGTTAGGTTAGGTTCGGTTGAATAGTAAGTGTAACCTGATTGAACAAGATAATGTTAACAGGAAGAGACTGAACATTATGAAAAAAGAATCAATTTCATAACAAGAACATTGTGCGAAGAGAAGAACAAGTAAAAGAACAATTCTCCGTCAGTAAATGAGTGAGTAAATAAATACGAAGTTGAACATAGAGATAAGAGTTATTGTTGGAACTAAGAGAGAAATAATATTTTATCTTCTCACACTGTTATCGTTGTCTCTATCAGTGAAGAATCATCATCATAGAAAAATTCCTCTTATATGACGTCCAATGTATATGAACCACTGCCTTGCATGGCAGTGAACAGTGACATCACCCACCTTCAGGATTTATTGAACAGTCTCCAAAACTGGGCCACCAACAACCACGTCACCATCAACCATACCAAGACCATGGTTATGCACATCAACCTCTCCTCCGACATTGTCCCACCTCCTTCCATTACTCTAGGTCCGAACACACTCCAGGTTGTAGATTCCACGAAGCTCCTCGGCGTCACCATAGACAACAAACTAAATTAGAAACCACACGTCAGTGAAGTTGTCAAATCCTCCAGTTTCCGTCTCCACCTCCTCCGCCGACTCAAGTCCCTCGGAGTTCCTGCACCCGAGCTCCTCAGTGTTTACACAACATTCATACTTCCCAAGCTCACCTATGCCTCCCCACCTGGTCTTCCTCCCTAAATGCCACACAACGTAAACACCTAGAAAAAGTGCAAAAGAGGGCATGCAAGATTATTCTCTCCTTCCTACTCCACATATCAAGAAGCGCTCAACACACTGACCCTTTCGACTCTCACTGACCATCACCACGACCTCATCTGCAAATTTGGTAAGAAGCTTCTACACCATCCTCGACACCGGCTCCTACTACCACCTGAGATCCCTAGCCCGAGAATTGCTGTTCGACACCACAACCGCATCCAGCCCATACGTGCACGAACTGATCGCTATAAGAACAGCCCAGCCCCAACCATTGTAAAAATTATCAATAACTTGTAACAAACCAGTGTATTCACTCCCAGTAAACACTACTCCTTGCACTGTCACTATGTTGAAATGAACTGTAGTTTGAGCTTTTCCCCATCTAGTTATTATATATCTTATTTGTATCACTTATGTTACTTGTATATTATTTGTAATTCGAAACCCATTCCCCAAATATGTAACTGTATATTTTCAGCCTTCTGGCTGCCAAGCTCTTTCAATAAACCGTTAATTATTATTATTTTTATTGTTTATTATTATGAATCTGACCTATATATACTGTTAATAATTATGATGTATTTCTTCTGTCCTGCGTGGCAGTGAACAGTGACATCACCCACATGAATCTAACCTACATAAGAACATAAGAATGGAGGAAACTGCAGCGGGCCTATTGGCCTATACTGGGCAGTCCCATTTACACCCAACTCCTATTGCTCATATAAGCATCCAAACTATGTTTGAAGCTATCCAGCGTATTCGAGTTAATGATGATATTTGGTAACTTGTTCCATTCATCCACTACTCTGTTTCCAAACCAGTGTTTACCTATTTCGCGCCTAAATATAAATTTGTCTAATTTAAAACCATTGTTACGAGTTCGCTCCTGGTTGGATAGTTTGAGTACCTTTGTAATGTCCCCTTTGTTTAGCCCTGACTTCCATTTATACACCTCTATCATGTCGCTCCTCGCTCTACGTCTCTCGAGGGAGTGCAAATTAAGATGCTTTAACCTGTCTCTGTACTCAATGTTCCTAATGCCCTGGATTAGTCTTGTCATTCTCCTCTGGGTTCTTTCCAAGGATTCTATATCTATTCTGTAATACGGTGACCAGAACTGAACTGCGTAATCCAGGTGAGGTCTCACAAGCCCAAGATATAATCTTAAGATGACCTCTCTAGTCTTGTAACTAACACTCCTTTGTGTGAACCCAAGTACTTTATTAGCCTTGTTACGAGCAAAAACACATTGTTTACTTGGCTTAAGATTCCTACATATCATTACTCCTTAATCTCTCTCTCAGTCGGATTTCTCAATGGCATCGTTGTTCATCTGGTAACTGGTTTCCCTGTTTACATCTCCTATACCGAGTACTTTACATTTGTCCACATTGAATTTCATCTGCCATTTTTCAGACCATTCGAAAATTTTTTTTAGCTCTTCCTGTAGTTTTGCGGAGTCCTCGTCAGATTTAATTACACGTCCTATTTTAGTGTCATCAGCAAATTTATTTATGTTGCTGTCGATGCCGATATCTATGTCGTTTTTGTATATAATAAATAATAATGGTCCCAGTACTGAGTCTTGGGGAACTCCACTAGTGACGTTGCTCCAATGGGATTTAGTGCCGTTAATGCTCACTCGCTGTTTCCTGTCCTGTAACCACGCCCTAATCCATTTTAGAATATTACCTTTAATGCCATGTGCTTCTACCTTTCTTATTAGTCTTTCGTGGGGGACTCTGTCGAAGGCTTTGCTAAAGTCGAGATATACCACATCATAATTGTGCCCCTCGTCCACCTATTCGAAAACTGATGAAACGAATGTTAATAGATTAGTTAGACATGAACGCCCGCTTGTGAAGCCATGCTGGGAATCATTGATCAATTTGTGCTTCTCCAGGTGGTTTCCAATAGAGTTTGAAATGATTGCTTCCAGTAATTTGCCTACAGTTGATGTTAGACTGATTGGACGGTAGTTAGAGGATAGTGATCTATCCCCCTTCTTGAAAATCGGTATTACATTTGCAATCCTCCAGGATTCTGGTACTACACCTGTTTTTAAGGACATGTTAAACAACTTTGCTAAGGGCATACTAAGCTCTTCCTTACATTCCTTTAACACTCTGGCAAATATCTCATCGGGACCAGGTGACTTATTAGGCTTTAGTTTGTCTATTTGCTTACTAACATCGTTACTAGTCACTACTATCTCGCTTAATTTGTTTTCTTCACTATCTCTGTATAGAGTCGGTGCCTCGGGTATCATGTTTAAATTTTCGGTGGTGAAAACTGTTGAAAAATATTTATTCATATTATTGCTCATTTCTCCATTGTTATCACTTAGCTCGCCGGTATCTGACTGTATTGGTCCAATCTTTTCTCGTGTTTTAGTTTGATACATTTGATAGAATCCCTTGGGGTTTGTCTTCGCCTCCCTTGCTTTACTCAGCTCATTATTCCTCTTTGCTTTCCTTATCTCGGTCTTAACCCTACCGGCCAATACCTTATAATAATCCCGGAGGTAAATTTCGCCACGATTTATCCTACCTATAGCCTTCCTTTGACCAATAATGTTCTTTAAATAATTATTTATCCATTTAGTGTCATTGTTGTTTGATCTGAGTTTTCTGTATGGTATGTTCTGCCTTCGTGCATGAAGTAACTCATTATTTAAATTGTCGTGGAACTCGGCAACCTCAGATCTCGTTATCAGGTCAGTTTCAACCGTCAGGTCAAAGTAGTTCACCCCCAAGCGTGTTACCCCTTCTCTCAACTGCCTCTTCAAACTATCAAAGTTTGCCCTTCTGAAATCTGGGACTTTTGTGGAATTTTCCTTACGGCTGCCCTGAAAAACTAACTGAAATCTAATTTCTTTGTGATTGCTGTTTGCAAGTTCGTTCTCTACTTCGACATGACTAATGAGGTTTTCTCTGTTCGACAGAACTAAATCGAGTATATTATTACCCCGGGTGGGTTCGGTTATATGTTGACTTAGGAAACAGTCCTGGATTGTTTCAAGAAAATCCTCTGATTCTGAGTTACCCGTAAGGTCAACCCAATCTATTTGGCCAAAGTTAAAGTCGCCTACTATACAGACTTTGTTGTGTATGGAAGCCCTGCGCACTTCATCCCAGATATGTCGCTCATAAACTCTATCAAGATTGGGAGGTCTATATATTACTCCTGTGATTAATTTTTCCCAACCGTCGATTAATTCTATCCAAATTGTTTCTGTATTCCGCTCAGTTTTTATTTCCTTATTTATTTCACACTTCAGACCCATATATACTGTCAATGAATATGATATTTTTCTTTGTGTATGAACCTCTGTCCTGCGTGGCAGTGAGAAGTGATACCACCCTCAGTGTCAAGACCTGACTGAATTACTCACAATAGGCAAACTGTACTACAAGCTTTGTCAATAAATTTGTTAAACTAAAAAAAAAGATCTTATCTTTTTCACCTCTCACCTGTATGACGTCATGGCGGGGTATTTAATTAATGAGAACACTAATCAATTTCAGGTGGCATGTTTGATCATACTAAGATGTACTTTGTGCTTATGTAGGTTGGGTTGGCTTGGCTTGGCTTGGTTAGGTCAGGTCAGGTCAGGTCAGGGTGGTCTTATCTTCACGTACTTCTAAATTTCCCTGGAACTTAAAACACAGAGTTACCTGGTGTGAGGTCCTGTGATAGCATGTATACTCTTTAACTATGTACAAATGTATGTGTGTATACGTGACAGAACACCAGTAGGTGTGTGTATGTGTGTGTGTGTGTGTGTGTGTGTGTGTGTGTGTGGGTTACCTGGAAAGAGAGAGAGAGAGGTGGGCGCGTGTGCAGGTAGTGGGCGATTTGAGAGAGAGCGAGTAGGGTGCCTCAGGTAGGTACGGAGGCTGGCAGCTCAGGTCACCTCACTCCCGCCGCGGCTTTCCTCCCCGACACACATACACACCGCCGCTCAACACTCCGTCAGGCAACCATCAGAGGCAGGTCACTCATCGCCCTCCTCCTCCTCTTCTCCTTCTTGATGTCTCGTCGTCGTCTCTCGTGTCTCGTTATCTCTCTCTACAATCTTAGAAGTGTCTCGATTGTCTTCTTATATCCATTAATTTCATTCGTATATCAAACTTTGCGTCTCTCTCTCTCTCTCTCTCTCTCTCTCTCTCTCTCTCTCTCTCTCTCTCTCTTTACATATTTCTGGTATTCGGAACCCTCCTTATCCCTCCTCCTTAGTCCGTGTTGTCCGTGTACTTTGTTCGTGGTGAATGTAATAGTGTCGAGTTCCTTATATATAATAGTCGATGCTATTTTCTGTCTAATAATGTTTATATTTTCGTTTTTTCTGTCTAATGATGTTTATATTTTTGTTTTTTTCTGTCTACTGATGTTTATATTCCGTTTTTTCTGTCGCCTAATGTCTATAATCCGTTTTTTTCTGTCTACTGATGTTTATATTCCGTTTTTTCTGTCTACTGGTGTTAATATTTCCATTTTTTCTGTCTACTGATGTTTATATTTCCGTTTTTTCTGTCATAATATTATAAATATTTTTTTTTTTACGAGATTCACAAACCAGGTTTAAATGTCACGGTGAGGTCAAGGCATTACACTTATTAGTATTATTGACTATCTAACAGCCATTACAGCCATACTCCGAATAATTACAGTCCCATTCTATTATTCTTTTGTTTCTGTAATAGATAGTTACAGGATTAATAGTGTATTGAATAGTGTATATATGTGTTTTCAGATTGTTATTATAAATATATTTTTTTTAGTGTTTTGTAAGAAAATATATTTGGTTATAAACATTATGTGAAAGTTGAAGGAAAATCAGACATGTTTAAAACTCGTTCTGTAACTCATAAGAAAGTTCAGACCAGAGAGAGAAATGAGAGACAGACAGACATACAGTATAGACACAGACAGACGAACAGAAAGATAAACAGACAGAAAGAAAGACAGACAGATAGGCAGACAGACAAACCAAGCCTTGTTCCATGACTCGTAGTTAAGCCAGAGTGTGTTGTAAATTACTTAAGTATGAAAATTCATTGTCTGAAAGCATTCCTGTGAACGTAAACATCTTTGAAAAGATGAGAGGGACGAGATAGTTAATTCCGGGTCGTGTGTTGGATGTTTATTACCTCCGGGCTGTGTGGTGGATGTGTTGTTGATACCAAGTGACGGAAGTAATAATAACAACAAAGAGATAGACAGAGAGGGAGAGATAGAGAGAAAATGTGATAGAAATAGTGATAGAGAGAGAGGGGGGGAATGAGATAGAGAGAGAGAATTATGGAAATAAACAATAACTGGTTTCTTTTGTGCATTTCTTTTATTATCTGTTTCTGATTTTTTTTCCTTTTTTTCTATTTTCAATTTTTTTTAGTATTGTTTTTGTTGTTGTTGTTTTGACCTTATTTTTGTCTAATTTTAAAAGTCAAGTTTTTTTTTTATGATAGAAGATAAAAGTTTAGTTTATAAGTTTTAAATTTTTGTAAAGTTTTTGAATTCATAGTATTTTTTTTTTATTTGTACACTTTTAAATTTTTTACCTAAAATTTTAAAGTTCTAAAGTTCCAAATGTCTTTAAGTTTTAAATTTAAAATATAAAATGTAAAAAGTTTATAATTTTCAAGTTTTTACAAATTTATTCACTTTATATATTTTCATTTATACATCAATAATGAAGAAATTTATCATAATACATTACTGTATCAACAAATTTTTACAGCAACACTTCAGTATTCCTCTCTATCCCTATTACAACTATTTATTGCCAATTTTCCTCCTGTTCGTGAGAGAGAGAGAGAGAGAGAGAGAGAGACAGACAGACAAACGTTCTCTCAGTATGAATGCATTTAGATTAGATTAGATGTTTATTTTTATTTTTTTAATGAATTCTCTTGGATGTAAGCTTTTGTTATTGCTATTATTATTATTAGTATCAGCATCATTTTTTTCTATTATTTTTACTATTTTCTATTTTATTATTTTATTTTTTTATCATTACTAATAAAATTTGTCTTTTATATAATTATCATCATCATTATCATTATTACCTCTACGTTCTTTACTTGTTTCATTATTTTTCACTTATTCTTTACAATTCTCATTCTTTCCTGATTTGAGAGATTGTGTTTTTTTTTCCTCTTCGTAAATGAGGGATAATTTTTACAAGTGAATTTTAACTCACTTTTTTTCACCTTGTTATTATCATATATTTTCTTACCTCATATGTTTATCACTTACTTCCTGTCATAGTGTTTATAATTGCTATTTCTTTTGCATCTTTCTGTTTTGTGGTTGTGAATATTGTGTCATATATATTGTGCAGTGTCATATTGTGTCATGTATTATGTAGTGTCATATGTTGGTATGTGTCATGTGGGGGTGTTTTACGGTGCTTGTTGGAGAACGTAATGGAGATATTATTATGATTTCTCTCTCTCTCACTCCTAATTTTCCTCACTCTCTCTCCCTCTCTCTCTCTCTCTCTCTCCCTCTCACTCACCCTCTCCCTTTCCCTCTGGTATTTTAAGATTTTGGCTAAAGTATTAACCACTCTCGCACGATGGGTCCTATGCTCAGTAAAACCATCTGGACTTAACTCAATAAAATAAAAAATAAAACAAATCACATCTCGTAGTCAAGGGATTCAATCATTTTTAGAGAAATTATTAACGAAGGGTTTTTTTATATGTAACTAGAGTGGACTTTAAAGAATTGTTCTGTTGCTCTCAATATAATGTATTTATGTTGATTCCTTTTTCTCTCTCTCTCTCTTGCAGGATAGTGGAGATAGTTAGATACGAACCATCACCAAGATCATCAAAACAAGAGGAAAAAAAAACATCTGATACCTCAAACTTAAACACCTTATTAACCTTTAACTTAAACTCTATCAAAAAAACTAATTCCTTTCCAACTATCCTCAATACTGTACTAAAACCCACCAACATATCTAGTCTTCAGGCAAGAACTTAACCTATCCCTCTACCCTTCACCACCACCACCACCACTAGAGGGTCATTTACCCCATTAAAAGGTTCCTCCTCCTCCTCCTCCATCCTCCTTCAGCGCCACCAGCAACAGTAACAAGAGGAATAAGCATCGTCGTCAGTAGTAGCAGGAGAATGAGGGCGACAGGAGCACTGGTGTTGGTGATGGTATTCTTGGCAGCGATGGTCGAGACTCATCCTCCACGAGCCAAGCGAGGCATCAAACTCTGCTCTGCCAGGGACGTTAAGTTCATGGCCACTTATGTGTGCAATCTTCACCGCCGTTCAGTACGATCTGTGGACCAACACTCCGACGACAACTACGAGACTACAGGTAGGTGATTAAGTGAGAGAGAGGGGGGTAGGTGATCAGGTGAGAGAGGAGAGAGAGTGTGAGAGAGATTTAAAGGGTTCAGCTATTCAAGAATTTAGGTATGTAGGTAATCAACAGAGAGAGAGAGAGAGAGAGGGAGGGGGAATAGCTGTAATCCGAGAGAAATTGAAAGATAATCGATAATCAACAATTAGAATTAAAATTTGGAAACTCTTAAACGGTAAAAATATATGAAAAAAAGTGTAAAAGTTAATTAAATGAAAATAATAATAACTTACCTGTACAACGACACCTTTGAACCCGCTCAGGTAAACAGAGAAATAAAGGCGAACTAGAATGAAAACTAAAGGAAAGAAATAAAACAAAAGAAAGAAAGAAAGAAAGAAGGATGTAATTACTGTCGTGTGGGTGATTATCGTGGTGATTCTTCTTACTGTGTGGAGTCTGTAGTGAGTTGTTGTAGGAAGCTTTTGAGGAGAAAAAGAGGAATAAAGCAAAGACGGTGAGGGGCGAAGGGTGAGGAGTGAAGAGTGAGGGGTGAGGAGTGAGGGGTGAGGAGTGAGGGGTGAGGAGTGAGAGGTGAGAAGTGAGGGGTGAGGAGTGAGAGGTGAGAAGTGAGGGGTGAGAAGTGAGGGGTGAGAAGTTAGAGATGAGAGGTGAGAAGTGAGAATGAAGGGTTAGAAATGAGAAGTGAGAGGTGAGAAAGAGAGATTAAAATAATAACTAGACAGCGTCAGCCAACAAGACATGACTCGTGTCTTCATTTCTCCGACAACAACAAAACGAAATGTCTAAATATATTTCCAATTACAGTAAAAACCTCCATTAAACGGACTTTCATCTCTATATAGTCCGTTAGATGGAGGTTTCACATCTAACGGACTCTCGATATAATGGACTTTCATCTCTATATAGTCCGTTAGATGGAGGTTTCACATCTAACGGACCCTCGATATAACGGACTTTGATCTCTATATAGTCCGTTAGATGGAGATTTCACATCTAACGGACCCTCGATATAACGGACTTTCATCTCTATATAGTCCGTTAGATGGAGGTTTTAATGTTTTCGTATAAGCTAACAAAATGTCTCTTTGTTTACCATATGTTCGTGTGACAATAAACCAGAATATAAAACTATGAAATTGGATCCCATAGACTACCCCCCCCCTCCCCCCGGCCAACCATAGGTACCCCTTCACACCTGGTTTGACTGGGGGGGGGGGTCCATTTATTGTTCAAACTTCCGCCCGTCCGTGTGACTGTTAGTGTGTCAACAACATCACAACACTATATTACCAACCGTATATATTGTGTTTATTTGTTCCTCCAGTGTAAACCGGCATTGAACCCTGATTAAGTTCATCACTGGTGGGGCGGCGGTGAGGGTGGGGGTGCAAGAGTGGGGTTGGAGGGGAGGGGGGGAGGAAGAGGCGTGGGTTGATTGGGAACAAGAGGCGGGTTGAGGGCAAGAGGCGTGTATTGATGGGGAGGGGCAAGAGGCGTGTATTGATGGGGCGGGGCAAGAGGCGTGGGTTGATGGGGGCAAGCGGCGTGGGTTAGGGGTTTAAAAATCGTCTTGGTTTAACTTGAGTGAAATAAGTCATTACAATACCTAAAATGTGTTTAGTTTAACGTAAAGTGTAATGAATAACTTTTTTCTCTATGATAATCTGAGTTGATGTTTAGAGTCGCCGCCACTGTTGGGAGATGAGTGGGAAGTGGGAGATGACGTGTATGTGTCATTTCTGAGTGTAGGAGATGAGTGGGAAGTGGGAGATGACGTGTATGTGTCATTTCTGAGTGTAGGAGATGAGTGGGAAGTGGGAGATGACGTGTATGTGTCATTTCTGAGTGTAGGAGATGAGTGGGAATGGGGAGATGACGTGTATGTGTCATTTCTGAGTGTAGGAGATGAGTGGGAAATCAGAAATAACATCTGTATGTCACTCACTCTCTCATTCAGGGTGATGGCGGTAACAAACCATAGTAAATACCTGAAACTATTACTATTATTATTATTATTATTATTATTATTATTATTATTATTATTATTATTATTATTATTCGCTCTGTTCCTCACAAAAAAAATCCCAATGACAGAATAAAATGAAATATTCAACTTCACAAACAAAAATATATTTCGAGAATCATTTCACAGTATTGACGACTTTAAATATATTTCCTAATGAAGAATAAATTCTAATTATACTCTCCTGTAGTATTTCTGTAGACTATTGATCGTATATGTACCGTTTCCTTAAGTAACTTATTGTTATCGTAATAAATTGATTAGAAATATCCCTGGATTTACCTGGTAGTGATTCTTTATATATGACGTATCCCTGATGAGTGGTAGGTAATTAAGGTGAGGTAATGAAACAGGTGTATATATTTCTATACTTACCTGTATATAAGACAACCTCAAAGAAAACGGGGAAAGTTAGAAGAGGGAGGACGGAGCAAAATTCACTTTTATATATAATTTAGGAGGATGATGGAAGAACTTACCTATTTACCTGATACTAATGGACACTAATTAATAAACAATAACTTATAAATTATAATCAACCAAACATAATTATGCAAACCATCTATAATCCTTATATGTTATACTTTTACCAAATAACTTTCATTGTTATTTTGTATTTCCAAAAAAGAAAATTGGCCAATATTCGTATGGCAATTACTGCGGATTGTCCTTTATTGCAATAATTTCACGTCTGGTCAGGGGCCGGAGGTAATTTATAGGGTCAGGGTATTAGGGGAAACCTGTGTTAGGGGCATGGTGTTTTATTTTGCACTTGTATTAGTAGGTGTTTTAATGGTAAATTATACAATGGGTTGGATGGTGTGTGTGTGTGTGTGTGTGTGTGTGTTATTAAAAGCAATGACATTACTTATTCACTAACTTACTAATTAAAAGGAAGTGAAATCATATATGAATGCTTTTGTTTCTTTCATTATTTAAACGGGAAATACCAAAACAGTTCATTCTCATCCCTGGCTCACCTGTACACACCTATCCACACCTGTCCATAATTAGAACAAGAATCTAAATTAATAAATAACTCGATTAACGCAAAAAGATGATAATTTTTTAGGTATAATTTGTGAAGGTGAAATGATGGAAATTATAGCAATAAAACGATAGAGTATAATGAACTGATTATAGGGTAATGTCGTCAGTTCCGCCTCATACTCCCTCTATCAATCAAACGAAGAACTACGTAGAAAAATAAGAATAATATGAGAGACTTTAGTGAAGGTAATTAATCACCAGATGCTGAAGAGAAAGAGGAGGAGGAGGAGAGAAAATATATAATTTTAATTGTCTGAAAAATATGAACAGAGAGAAATCGTAATAATGAAAAGGAGGAAGATAATATACACAGATAAAGACCAAAAAATAGAAATAAAACAAGAAGAATAAAATAGATGAAAAGATGGGGAAGAAAAGGCTTACAGAGTTGTAGAGGCATTTGGCATGACTGATGAATGAAGCTGTCAAGGAATATGTTCCCTGAAAATATATAGAGTTTTTCAGAGCGAATAATAAATTCTTTGAATAATAAGTTGAGCGTCTCTCTCTTATACCGCTCTCTTTATCAGGTTTGTTTACATTCATTATATTTACGTAGAATAATCACCACCATTATTGTGATCAGAAACACCACCAGATCCTCATTTATTTATTGTGTGAGTCGTAAGATATTGATATGCAGAGGTGTGACGTCTGATTTACACGATTTTATTGTAAATGTTGGGAGTTATTTACACACATTGAGAATATATGAAATTTCGTGGGTAAGTATTGTAAATCACTAAAGCTCATGAGAAGTTATTTTTTTTTACGTAAATGTCATAGTAATCAAGTAAACATTATCTTTACGAATAATATCAATTAATTTATCACATTAATTGAAAAAATATCGTGTTGTAAATCGGTTTCATTTGTCTTTCGAAAATATCCAAATCTATTTCATATCTTATAGACCCTGAGCGAAGTATTTAGACACACTTATAAATAACTAAATACTGAAAGATATTCTACTAAATAATTAAATCCGTTTCCCATAATGACTAAATTGCTGAAATATAATTGTTTTTGTTTGATTTTGTGTCTGCTCCATTAAAAGTACTCAACAAAACGCTTCACTAAACCCTAATTATTTGTTGTTGTTAATTTACGGCCTAACAAGTGAAATATGTGGATTAATGACAATAACAGTTATTTGTTATTTGTTCAGGAATTGAGTTGGGTGAACGTAGTTGTGTGTTCTGAGGATTTAAATGGATTATTTTAATTAACATTCATCCTCTTAACGCAGGTGTGTGTGTGTGTGTGTGTGTGTGTGTGTGTGTGTGTGTGTGTGTGTGTGTGTGTTAAACCGTAAGTTCATGTTCATTCTTCATATACAAAGACAGTGCAGATGTATGTATGTATATGTATGTCTATGTACGTATCTAGTGCAGGTATTCAAACAGTGTACATAGTCAATGAAAGTATATAATAATAGCAGAAATGAATAAACCAATTGTTATCATAGATTCCAATATATTAGTTTTGTTATCGCTAAACAGACGAAATATACACCTGGACACATATTAGGCTGGACACATATTAGGCTGGACACATATTAGACTGGACACATATTAGCTTCACAGTTCACCATAAAGACCTTAGTTGCTGTAACGTAGTAAATAACATTATATAAAGTCAACGATGCCGTAATAGGTATATAAACATTACTTTACATTTATTAAAAAACAAACATATTTTTTATCAGCAGTGAACGGGTAGAGTTTAGAGCGAGGGATCTTTTATGTAACTCTGAATGGCAGGGATGACAGCAGCCGCGGTGAGGAAAGGAGTTTCGTGTTTACTTTTACATTATTGTGACTCTCTCTCTCTCTCTCTCTCTCTTCGTAAAGATAAATTTCAACAGACATAACCTAAGCGTAGAGACCCCCAGGAACACACACACACACACAGTCAT